CTAATCAACTTTTGAAGGAGGTGCTGTGAAATGTTATTCACAATCCTACTTGAGGAATAGTGCAACCAAAACTCAATATATTGTTCATGAGATTATCTATGTAAAACATTTAGCATATTACCTGGCACATAGTAAATAGTCAAATCTTACCTATTGATGTGCTGTAACTAGCCAAGATCATCTAAATGCAAAAACTAAACAATGGAAACTGTTAAAACTATGACATAGTGTGCACCTCATAGCAATGTTGTGAGGGGAAAACAAAACAACACACAGACATTCCTGCAAAGCAACTGCTGTTCAGTAATTGTTATTTTGTTGTTTCTTCTCTCCTTCCCATGGAGAAGAAAAAGGAATGAAGGAATGAAATTTATATTAGGCTGTTTCTGGTATTTGTCAGTGATAAACAGCTCTATACTGAAATAGTAAAATCCATAATATCTTACAAATTCAAAGTAAAATTTCTGATATTATACACATTCATTAAAACACCTATAATACATGAGTCAAAGAAATTCAGCATATTTAAGGCTTTATACATAGTTTATAAGAATAGGCTTGAGCAAAAGAAAATAGACTGCACAGATCTAACACATAAAATCACTAGCAAGCTAGAAAGATATTGTTAGGAAAAGAAAAACACCAGCTTGATTAAAATACTCTTCTAGAACTATTTGACAAAATCTGGGCCATATTAATATATTGAAAACAACTTTAGAGATTATTACATACTTTCAATATAAGATGCAACTAAAGTTTACACTTTATTATGTGAGAATGATTCTTTCATCTCTTCTTTCCAAAATGCAAAACAGCAATTTAATTACCTAGGGATTTAAGACTTCAAACTGCATATAAGGTCAGTCTTTTACTCCGAGAAGCCTCATTTAGCAGAGTAACTTATAGTAATTAAACAAAGACATAGGAGAAAAATAAAAACAAAAACAAATCCCAACAACCTATTTTAAGCAATAGTTTTACTCTGCTTCCTTTGAAAGAAATTTTTAGTAATATCAAACTAGTCAGTTTTACAAAAACCATGACTAATGCACAAACTGGATGATCCACCTCCAAAAAACCAAAGTGTTTCTTAACCCGTTGGCCACACTGTTATATTCTGCTATGCAATCCCACTGTTAATTTATTATTAACCTATAAAAGGGAGACATATATAGAAAACAAGTAATTTATTACTAAAGGTTCTAAAATGGTCGTGTTTCTATGGGACTACAAAGAACTTTCACTACCCCATCTGTCCAGCACACATTTGGGTACTTGCTCTGTGCCAGGTACTGAAGATAAGTAATAATTACAGTGTGATGAGGGCTTAATTTGGCTTAAATAGTCCTACATGACTTGCCTCCACCTAACCTCTCTAACCTCATCTCTTACCACTCTCTTCTTCATTCACTTACTGTGCACCAGCCCATTTCTGCTGTTTGAACATGCCAAGCCTATTCTTGCTTTAGGATATATGCACTAGTTGAAGGATGTGGTAATAATGGTAATCTGGTTTCAGATCTACTTTTTGTTGTTCAGTGCTGTATTTATAGCACTTATAGAACAGTGCTTGATACACAGAAGGTGCTTAATAGAATATTGAGTAAATGAGTAACTATTACAGGAGAAATGTGTGCAGTGGAAGCACATGAGGATATATTCAACCCAGCCCTGAAGGGGATCGTGGTGGTCAGAGGTGATTTTCTGGAGGAGTTCCTGCTTTAAACTGGTGGTTAAGAGTTAGATAAAAGGGGGAGAGAGGGGAGTCAGGAAGAGAGGGTCGCAGGCAGAGGAAAGGGCATTTACCAAGGCATGGACTTATTCATGCTCTTTCCCCAAAATTCTGTTGCCTTGAGTGATTCAGGAAGAAACAGCTTCAGCAAAATTTTGTTAGCTTTTACATTTCTTTCTAGGGGACCTACTGACAAGCACTGCTGAACAACATGTGACCTCACAGAAGCTGCTGGCAGACTCTTCCTTGCAGAATCCTTGTTCCTGTATGTTCAAGAAGGTCTCTTAGAGGAGAAGATATTTTTTTTAAACTTGAAGTTACCTGTTTGCCATAGAAATTGGTGTCTCCCCTGAAGGAAGATCGAGAGCCGGTGAATGAGAACATTGGCAAAGGCACTGGAATGGGGACATTCACCCCTACCTAGAGCAGAACAGATCCACATCAAATACTAAGAAAAAGACTCAAATGAAGGAGCTCTCCATTTAGAAGCACAAATGCTTGGCATCAGAGAGACCAATCTTGTTTTTTTTTCCTTCTACTTTCTTAAAGCCTTTACTTTTGAGACATGACAGGAAAATGTCTTACAGGAACACATGGAAAAGTAGTACATGATCACAGTTGAAAGTGAAGACAAGAGAGACCAATCTTAACTACCCACCTTCCACCCCATCCTCCATCACATGAACTTTTATTCCTAAGGAAGAAATGGGGCATTGAGGGAGATGACAGGGGCAGTGACTGATCACTATTTACCTTTTCCCCTTACACAGGAAACAGTAAATGGCTACAAGAATCTCCTAGAAATTCTGTTCACAGACCTGTCCGACATCCACCAGGTGGGAATATTTCCGAGCAGTGGCTCCATTGGTGGTGAAGATGGCAGTTCCATTTCCATATGGGTTGTTGTTCACAATCTTGATGGCTTCATCCAAAGTGCCTGTTTCCAGAACCACAAGAACTGGGCCAAAAATCTCCTCTTTGTAACAGGTCATATTTGGCTGCCAGGAATGATGCATTCAAAAAAGAAGTCAGTATTTTACGCCTATTTGGTACTTTATTATCCACTGCTTACATGAACAGCTTTAATGTTAGTAATCTCTTTTCATTTTAAACCACGTATTAAAAAAAGTCATTTCTTGCTGGGTTCTATCTTCCAAGCTACCAGTCATACATATAACTTGAAATTCCTAGTAAGTAGAACTATACGCCTTTTGTTTAAGCACTATATTTTCAGGTCTCTTGACTCATCACTAGCTTCCTCTTTTAGGCCTGTACTACTTGTTTATACAATTGTTATGTTACTGAAAATAACATATTTAAAGAAACTCTGCTAAGTTTTCTGTAACATAAATAATCCATTTTCATTCATTCCTTTGCCCCCCAAATGAGTCTGTTTTTTATATTGATATCAGGTCACATTAAACATTCAAAACATCCTTCACCACTGTAGCGGGTCAGCTGTGTTTGTTGCTGATAAGTGGATGTTTCCTTAATGACTCTGTGGCAAGAAATTTCATAATTTCTACTACACTTACATTCAACTCTTGATCATTCAGGATTATAGTAGGATTAGTGGAGATGTATGAATTAAAAAAAAATTAAAAAGCCTCCTAACCTCAATTTGGTCATTAAATTTAGCTGAGTGACTTAAGTTTTGACAAATAAAAATCGACACCAATTCTTTTTCTTTTGTCACTTTCTGGTGAAGGTAGAGGTATTCAATAAATATTGGGTGGTTGATACTGATGGAGACACTGCAGTAGCTATAAGGTCAGCAGCAAGAAGGAGAGGGAAGAAAATTAACATTAAAAAAGTAACAAGTATTGGAGGAGAGGGGATAGCTCAGTGGTAGAGTCCTGTGCTTAGCATGCATGAGGTCCTGAATTCAATCCCCAGTACCTCCATTAAAAAATAAATAAAACCTAATTACCTCCCCTCCACTCCCCCAAATAATAATAAAAAATAAAGTAAAAAATTTTTTAAAAAAGTAACAAGTATAATGTACGATAGGGATTGACAAAATAATGGCCCATGGGCTGGATGTGGCTTGCTGCCTGTTTTTGTACAGCCCACAAGAATGGTTTCTACAGTTTTTAAATGGTTGAAAAAAATCAATCATGACATATAAAACTATATGAAATTCAAATTCCATTGTCCATAAATAAAGTTTCACTGGAATATAACCACACAATGTTAATGGCTGCTTTAGCAGTAAAATGTCAGAGTTGAGTAGTTGTGACAGATTATTTATCCCTGCAAAGCCAAAAATGTTTACTCTTTAGCCCTTAATGGAAAGTTTTTCAACTATTGGAATAGTTGGAAGAGGTTGGGCGTCAAGAGGGGAGACTCATTCAGACTTGAGATAAAATAACTGAGTAATCTTGGCAAGAGATGAGGTCTCTAGTCATTAAATATCTTCATTTATAAATTGAAGGGATGAGATTCCATTGCCTCCAATGGTGCCTTAGCTCTCATATTTGTGAAATAAATAATCTAGAGTTGTTCACCGTGACATTTGAGATGATGGTTGGTCCAACAAAGTTCCCATTTTCATAACCTTTGACTTTAATATTTCGACCGTCAAGAAGGATAGAAGCTCCCTCCTTTGTTCCACTATCAATCAGATTACAGACTCGCTCTTTTGCCTGGGGGGTGATCAAAGGGCCAAGATCAGCTCCAGGCTGGTCTCCTGTAAAACAACACAGAAGTATGTAAGGTCTTCACTAACATAAATTATGACTGCTAACTAAAGATGAACCCAAATGACAAGCAGTACAGTACAAAGAGAGGCAATGGTAAGAATAAACATGCTCGCTACCAATGGGCGAGGCCAATGCGAAAATCAAGAGCTTAGTGCCACAGACACGCAGGCTAAAGGAGCTAGGCAGATAACAGGTTACCTGCATTGACTCTCAGGTTTTTGGCATGCTCTACCAGCTCTGGGAGCCACTTCTTAGATTCTCCCACAAGGATCACTGTTGAAAGAGCCATGCAGCGCTGACCAGCAGCTCCAAATGCTGCCCCAACCAGCTGGTTCAGAGTATTTTCCTTATTGGCATCTGGCATGACTACCCCATGGTTCTTGGCTCCCTAAGACAATACAGAAGTACATGAATCTTCCTTGGCAAATACAATTAGGCTAAGAAACAAAAGAATCTGAGATTCAAATGAGAATTTCAGGAAAGGATTAGAGAGTCTATCTTTTGTTACTTTGAAAACAGATTTATTATCATTTTGATACTGCTGAAGTCTTGGTAACATTAAGCAAGTCTCCAAGTAACTTCACTTTTTAAGCGGAAAAGTTGATAGATGTTTATTTACAACAAAACCATTATCAAAACCAAACAACACTGCCCCAGTCACATTCAGTCCAACTGACAGGCTAAACTTCATTTAGGAACCAAGGAGAACTCCCTTCTCTTTCCTAAGTTAGATAGGAAAGCATGTGTTGTCTGTCAGGGTTTCCACTTATATGAAGAGCAATGTAAACCAATAGCTGCTAGTAGCCAGCTGAAAGGCAAAACCTCCTGATACATAATTTCTGGAAAGAGGCTTGCTTCTGGATATACAGCCTCATAAACTTCTAAATAGGATGACATGTGGTCATTTCCACACGTTTCCAGATACAACTATAGCTAAGTGCATGAATATAGACCATGTCTGCTACTTAATTGTATCCTATTACATGTAGTGTAATGTTAGACACAGAATACATTCAAGAAATATGAAGTGAACTGGGAGAGGTATAAGTCAAATGGGTCAAAACACATTCAGCCATGAAAATAAATAAATGGACATATTATAAGCAGTTTCTAAGCCTGTGTATAGATGGCTATCCTTTATGCAACATTAGTGGAATGGTAAGAAAATGGCAACTGGATATTATATTTAGTATCAAAGAATTGCAAAGTATTTGGCAAGGAACTGGTTAGTAAGGAACAGCAAAACTATGCAACCAAGTAAATCACGCTCATTTATCATATGCGGTATTTGGCTCTTTTCAGTGCCTTAAATAGCCTGGACTTCTAGGGAAGATCATATCTTTAACAGTAGTGGTTAGGATATGCCTTACAAGAAGGAAAGATAAAGGGCTAAAAGCATGGTATGAAGGAAGCAACAGGGCCAGAAACAGAATTTGGCTGTTATTGCTGAAGCCCAAGGAATTTGAATAACATTCTTAAGGAGAAATGTGACTTCTGTCACCAAGATTACCCGGATCAGATAAGAGGTAATTAAAGTGACTGAGAATAAAACTCATCACAAGGTTCGTGCTTAAAGGGAAGACAATCAGGATGAACTGTGAATAAACAAACATTGACATTAGAGTGGGATGCATGGCCACTTTGCTGAAAGGCTTTTTCAAGGTAATTTTAATATACATAACAGACTTTTGGGGAAAAAGAATAAGAAGTCACCATATTGGCTTGAACTCTCTTGCCATGTCTTGACCCTCTCTCGAAGATGTACTCTCCTGCCTGGTTGGAGCCCACAAAGCTAATTGCTTTGATATCCGGATGATCGCAAATGAAGTTCACAGCTTTAAGAAGAAAATAAATGATTACCACAAAGGAACAAAGGGTTATGGGCTTCTCAACACAGCAAATGCCCCCTTTTCCCACTGTTGTGAGTGAGAGGTTTCATACTTTTGTTTTTCTACCCTGGATTCCCATTTTGGAGTCCTGTCCTTGTTCTCGTAAGTTCTTAAAGCTACAGATTCTATTTAGCCTCTCTTTATTTTTCTGATTTGCTAGTCTAGAATTCCCACTTCTAATTCTGAAGGCTACAATTGCTATTTTCCAACAAAACAACAGCCTTTCAATACTCGACTCTTCCTTTTGTTCTTTAAGAACGTGGTATTTCCTCAGTTGTCACTATATCCCAGGGCTCCCAGATACTATTGTGCCCTCATGTGAGAGGCAATATAGCATAATCTTTAAAATCCAAGGTCAGCCTTCCTAGGTATACACATCCTAACTTTGACAGTTTCTAGCAGCAAATCACTTAATTTCATTCTGCCTCAATTTTCTTTTATCTGTAAAATGGGAAACTAATAGAACCTACCTCAAAGGGCTGTTTAAATGAGATAATATATAAAGATTAAATGAGATAATATATAAAGGCACTAGGAACAATGCCTGAAACACAGAAGCACTTTTTAAGCGTTAGTATTATATGAATTAGAAGGACTTCAGTACCACTGAGGTCTATAAAATCCGGGTTAAATATCCTTATAAGTTCTCTCAATATTGAAGTGAAAACTTTCTCTTTAGTCTTAACTGTGTCTTGCCCTAATCATATTTCTTTGTTCTAATGTATTCTGTAGGGCAAGAACCACAGCTACTCCCTAGAGAGTTACCTTAGCACCCGGAGATGGCAAAACAGTCAACAAACATTACCTTCAAACATGGAGGTTACTATTAGTAAATCCTTTCCTCCCTAGATTCTTCATCCTAAAACACCCCATCACTGACTCAACACCCTGACTCTTTTGGTAGCCGGATTAAGTGTCACGTGCAGAGGGGCAGTTACCTTCATGTTGTCCATGGATGATATTCAGTGTTCCGTCAGGGGCACCAGAGTCCTGGAGCAACTTGGCGAGAAGCATGGTTGCTCCAGGGACTCGCTCTGATGGTTTCATTAGGAAGGTATTTCCACACACCATGGCTACAGGAAACATCCAAAGGGGGATCATGGCAGGAAAATTGAAGGGAGCAATGCCTGCACACACCCCCAGAGGCAAACGGTAGGAATAAAGGTCCATGTCTTTGGTGATGGATGGCATGGTCTCTCCCAGCATGAGGGATGTCACACTGCAGGCATGCTCAACCACCTCTGGAACAGAAAAGAAGCAGTCAGGCCACCAGCCCTGCACACTGTGCACTACTAAGCTTCGTCATGCTCTAGTTAGCTCTGCGTGGCGAGGCCAATGCAGAGGGAAGAAATACTAACTTGCTATGTAAAGGGGCTGTGTAAAATGAGATTCTCTGAATGGGGAAAAAGACAGTGAAATGTATATACCAACTGGAAGATCATCTGAGTAAAATAAAGAATGAAGTAAACCAATCGCACAGATATCTGAGAAGTATTGACATTTTCCACAAGTATTAAAAAAGATAATCATGGGATAGCAAAATATAC